AGAGGTGTCTTAGCTGGACTAAGGAGAAGAAGAACTGGACTGTTGCCCAGTGGTCCAAAGTCCTCTTTTCAGATGAGAGCAAGTTTTGTATTTCATTTGGAAACCAAGGTCCTAGAGTCTGGAGGAAGGGTAGAGAAGCTCATAGCCCAATTTGCTTGAAGTCCAGTGTTAAGTTTCCACAGTCTGTGATGGTTTGGGGTGCAATGTCATCTGCTGATGTTGGCCCAGTGTGTTTTTTGAAAACCAAAGTCACTGCACCCGTTTACCAAGAAATTTTAGAGAACTTCATGCTTCCTTCTGCTGACCAGCTTTTTGGAGATGCTGATTTCATTTTCCAGCAGGATTTGGCACCTGCCCACACTGCCAAAAGCACCAAAAGTTGGTTAAATGGGTCAAGAGGAAAATGAGAAACAAAATAATGCAGATGAGCTGAAGGCCACTGTCAAAGAAACCTGGACTTCCATACCACCTCAGCAGTGCCACAGACTGATCACCTCCATGCCACGCTGAATTGAGGCAGTAATTAAAGCAAAAGGAGCCCCTACCAAGTATTGAGTACATATACAGTAAATGAACATACTTTCCAGAAGGCCAACAATTCACTAAATATGTTTTTTTATAGGTCTTATGAGGTATTTAATTTATTGAGATAGTGATTTGGTGGGTTTTTGTTAAATGTGAGCAAAATCATCACAATTAAAAGACCCAACAGCTTAAACTACTTCAGTCTGTGTGTACTGAATTTATATAATACACGAGTTTCACTATTTAAGTTGAATTACTGAAATAAATGGACTTTTACACGATCTTCTAATTTATTGAGATGCACCTGTATAGTATTAATGCTTATTAACAAAATGCTACTGCAAAATCGAGTATTAGTTAAATATTCCATCGCCCAGTTCCCTGTTGGCTTTTGAGGTCTACAAGTGGAGCAGCTACACAATCCATAGGGACCTTTCTAATGGATAAAATCAATGTATAAAAACAGCATGCTGGAATCCAGTGTGTTACATTTCTGGAAATAAAAGCAGTCAAAATAAAAATCTAAATCTAATACGGCTCAATCGCTTGGTTTGGAGTGAAGCATCATGAAATGTTAGCAACAAGTGGCCAGGTCCTTGTATGAAAGCAAAATCCCAGTTTGGGCATTAAAACCATTCTCAAGCGTGTTGGTGCTGCTTTTCAGATGACCTTGCATCAGCCTGACTGGTTGCTATGATGACAACATGATCAAGTTCAAGCTAAATGGGCCTTTATAGGCTGGTACTTATCGTATTTTGTCCAACAGACAGTTTTTCACCAGATGTAAATTAGAAGCTGTTTTTGTTTCTGCTGGAATTGTATTTTATTTCAAAGCATTTAAACAGTACCGCAATCAAAATACTTTTATGGTTTGTAGTGATTTTTTTAAAGCAGGGTGATGCACGTTACTGCTCAAAAGTCAAACCATACATTTTATAGGTTTGTATTATGAAGTTGTGGCGCAGAAGGAATATGTATCATTTGTGAGGGTGGGTAAATGCTTCACTGATGTGTCATCTGATACAAATCAAGTGTCAACCTGACATGCAGTATTGCCAAGCTCATTCATCAGCACCGTACATACAGCACATGTCACCGTTAAAGCTGTATTGATTTGAACGACAGCCTCTGATGACATTTACTACTTTTAGATTTATGTGTGTGTGTACTGTTACTGTGTCACACTAACACTAACGTTGAAGCATTTGCTTCAGTTACTAAGTGAAGCCCTGGATCAACAAGTGGGCATGTTCACTAATGTGACAGGAAGATGTGGGTTTGCATACTGTAAATAATAAACATTGTGCTTTTAGTGATTTACAAGAAAATCTAATTTTGTCATGTTTGTGTTCATGGAAGCTTGTGTGTGCATGTGTCAGTGAATACATGTGCAGGAAATTTCTTTGTGGTGCCACATTTATCATAAGAAACTGTATGAAGAGGCAGCTGTGTGAAAAAGATGTATAATTATTAAGAGTGCAACATTATTATTAAATTACACAAGAAAGGGGAAGCAGCAATCAACACAATGTGCAGCCACCAGTGTTGCTGTGCTAACATGCTGGGTGTGCGTGGGAATCAGCCTCCCTCGCATAAACTTTGATCTGCCTCTGGAGCTGAAACTCAAAAATGCTCAGCAACAGCTTGTTTAATCTTTCACACAGCAATAAAGTAGCTCTCCTTTATCTTAAATCTCCAGTGAGTCTAATTCCAACACAGTGATACCATCTGTAATAAAGCACTGATGCGTGTAGTATATTCCTGCTATGCAGTGCACTGCAATTCCAGTGTTGCCTAACTGCAGTGCATTATCACAGAGATGCTCGGCTGGCATCCTTTCAACAATAAAAATTCACCTCTGCAAATGTTATCAGATTAGCTTCATGGTCCTGCAGTGGTGCAGTGAGGAGATTCAGCAGGCAGCATGGATCCATGTGCTACGATGCACTGACAGAGGATCCCAGCTGAGACACCAATGATGCACAGATACAGTACAGTAGTGGCCACTGCGACATACAGCACCAGGAATGGAATATCAACATGCCACTCACCTGCTGCAGAGCTGGAGTTTACTGCTAAAATGGGATGAGTCCTCTAGGTAGATGCTTTCAGACAAATCTCCTCACTCACATTCCCACTGTGTCCTCCTCTGGATCCTCTCTCACCTGCAAGGCAAGAGGCTGTTTGTAATTTGTGTGTGTGTATGAAAGCAAGAGGATGAAAGAGAGAGGGTGAAGGAGCAGCAGCAGCAGCAGCCCTCTCTGCTGCATGTCAGTGTATGAGTATGTAGATGGTGTAGTGTTTGTTATTCTCCGGCTGTGTCTGGTCAAAGCAGTATTGCCGGGGATGTGAGTGGTGAGAGAGAAAGGGGGGCGGTAGGAGAGCGGGATTATCCAACGCTGCTCTGCCCGCAATGATCACTTTCCATACTCCCGCTCGATCACGTCATATCCCTCCATCCCACCCCTCAGTCGCTCTCTTCCTCACCTCCCCCTCCCTTTGCTGAAACACCCTGAGGTCTGCCTGCTTGCTCCATCTTTCTCATCTTTCTCTCCGCTACTCCCTCATTCCCCTCAAGACATCTCTACTCTGGTCACTATGGCTCACATCAAGCTGTCGCATTAGCATTCAACATGACAGGGAGTAAGTGGAGCAACCTGTGGAATATCCTCTTCAAAGGGCTGAGGGAAGGTGGGAAAGAGAAGAAGATGATGAGAGAGGGGGGAGAGGGAGGGTGTTGAAGCAGAGAGAGAAGGAAAGATGAAAAATGGGGACAAAGAGAAATGATGAAGATGATGCAAGGGAACAGGAGGTGGAGGGGGGTGGTAGATGACTTCTTTATTATTTCCTGTGGACACAGAAGAAATCTAAGCATTCATAAAGAGAGCAGAACCATAATTTAAATTCTCATTAAAAAAAACAAAGATTACACAACTAATTTGCCACTTTGTGTCAACAACTGAGCGTAACACTATGACTCCTTTCCAACAGAAACTTTCCGAAAATATTCAACCGAAATTGTTTCTCCCCACATCTATGATAGCCGGCTGTAAAGCTTCCTATGAGTTCAGACAACATGTTTTACAAACTAGTTCTACTCAAGCATTACCCAGCCCTACGACTCACAGTGGCCCAACAGCATTACACTACTTCCTGTTGCTATTGTTATTTAGCCGTCTATAGAAGGTCACAAGCTAGAGGTTAACCTCCTGTGTGCAGTATAAATGTCTCTTTGTACTGCATGCAGTATGTTCACAGCAAACCCCTGCATGAGAATTAAAGGTTACTCAATAACAGTCTCTGCCCTGCTGCTCTGCCTTTCAGACAAGCCTACTAGAAGAAATAGACCTGAGGGCAAACCTCATCTCTCCAGTTCAATTACTAGGCCACCTTTAGATAACCTTTACACCCCTCACGCTTTGTACTCTATGTAACCTCCCACCTACAGGAGCCACTATTTAAATCGGCCACCACAACATCATCATAGATTGACTGACCCAGATATGGGTCACAATGTGTTGGGGGGTGGCCGACCAGTGTGCCAGTACTATTCATGTGGCTGTCATCAGAGAGAGAGAAAAAGAAGAAGAAGCTTTATTTTATTTTCATTGTAACACGTACAACAAAATTTAGTTGGGAGCCGAGGGTGCATATGCGCTGCCATCACAGGCAACTTGGGGGGTTCAGTGTCTTGCCCAAGGACACTTTGACATGTGGACAGCAGGCAGCGAGATTTAAACCTCCAACCTCCCGGTTGGGAGACAGCTGCTCTACCCACCATACCACTGTCACCCCTATGCAGAGGTATTGACATGTCATACATGTGACTGTCGATGGATAACTGCTCCTGTGTGTGACCGACAACCAGCAGCTGGTCTGCTGGTAATTGTCAATCTCTCATTGTGGGAACTGTAATTAAAGTTGCTCGTCTGTTGCGGAGAAAATATCATTAGCTATGACTCATTTTCACATTAAGCCTGGATTTGTTTTTTGCTTAAACCAGCAGTTTTTTTTAAACAGACAGTGCAATAAACTGTAAACCCTGGCCTTATAAAGTCAGCCAACAGTCATCCAGCATATAGAGCACTATGAATATAGGATACTGTAAGTTCAATCTCCATCTAACTCAGGTTTAGTGTCCAGCAACTCCTGAGGGTGTTCAGGTGTTGTACCTTTGTTTCTGTTGCCATGACAACTGCACCAATACTTTACAGTCTTTCAGATGTTGTAAACTAAAGTAAATTTTGGGCTGCTCCCCTCTAACACACACAGCCAGCTGTGTGTTTACACACTGTGCCTGTAATTCTAATGGTTGTTATGTGAAGACAGGGACATTAAACCAATCATCAGTCACTGCTCTGCACGCACGCGCCCTTTCTCTCCTCTAGTTTCTGGAAGGGGTGCTGAAATTTAGCTCCCAGAATGCACCTCCAACGTGGGTGCAATGTAGCAGAAACAAACGCAGAACCTGTCATGAGCGTTACTAGGTGTGACACAATTCAGTAGGGCCCTGTGATGGAAAAACCCCTAAAGGTAATTAAAGATACTACGTATAGAACTCGGAGCTTCAACTTTGGTGCCTCCTGAGGTCATAATTATAAATGGTTAAGCCCCTTGTCAGATGTATGTGTGAGTGAGCAATTCTTCCACATATCCTGATAAAACATCCCTCTCTCAGCCATGCCCCATTTTTCAGATAGATACTGTATCTATGGAATTCTGTAAATGTTACCATCCTTCAGTTCAGACAGCTGAGCCTGCAGGGCAGTCCACTGCACAGAATCAGCAGAAATAGTGTAATAATGATAGGGCCTCATGCAGACATTATTCTGTGCATGTCTGTCAAGTGTCCACTCATGCATGTGTGTAGTGGGACTCCCCTTTGTTCCTCTGTAGACACTGGGTGCAGAGCATGGAACTACAGTATATTATCATTGCATGAGTCACTAGAACATTCTGTGGCACCAAGGGAGCAAGTCACGCTTGTTCACTCATCCCATCTGCCATGTAACGAGCAAAAGAGGAGGGATAAGCAGATTAATGCTGTTGTCCAGTCCAGTTTTTTCCAGTTGCGATTGTTGAGTAAAGTGAGGCCTTTTCTCTCATTTAACAATTTTGAAATTGCAATCCATGAGTTTGTTAGTTCTAGGCTTGACTACTCTAATGCACGCTATTCTGGAATCAGTAAATCTGTTTTCTCACGTCTCCAGTTGGTTGATAATGCTGCTGCTCGTTTCCTAACCAAAACATGTAAATACGAGCATATCTCACCTCTACTGGCTCCCGGTTCCCCTCAGAATTGAAGTTGCTGATTTTTGTTTTTAAGGTTTTAAATGGTTTGGGACCCCAGTATCTCAGTGATCATATTCAATGACACGTCCCAGTTAGATCTTCATCTTTAAATCTTCTAGAGGTTCCAAGATTCTCTCACAAATGATGGAGCGATAGGACTTTTGCCACTTGGGGATGATTAGCCTCTTAATATTAGATCTGTTACAGATTTGGCTGTGTTTAAATCTCTCCTTAAGACCTTTATATTCACTAAAACATATAATCATTAATGGAGTATGATATTTATTGTTGTTGTTGGCTTGTATTTTTGTTTGTTTAGTTTTAAAAGTGTTTTTAATTAAGCTTTTTTCTCTTAATTGTGTGAAGCACTTAGGTCCACCAGATGTTGGTGTAAAGTGCTATATAAATACATTTTGGATTTGGAAAAAGGGAGCCTTTAACAGCAAATTACCAACTCGACTCAGCATGATCCATTATTGCCATATTATACATCATGGCCCGGTTTCCATTTCCTTGAACTCAGACAAAGTCACTGTGCAGATCAGAAAATTTGTTGTAAAAAAAAAAAAGATGAAAATACAAATTCACCAGATGTTACTGTAGGTAATCTTCCAAGTTATGTAAAGAGTAGAAAAGAAAATATTATACCTGGAATAAAATGGCTTAGTATAAAATGATTAAACAGACAGAGATAAGACTGGATTTTTTTTTTGTTTGGACTAACAAGCTAGGCTAGCTGTTTCTCCCTGCTTTTAGTCTTCATGCTAAGCTATGATAATCATCTCCTGGTTCCATATTTAGTGTACAGATATAAGGATGCTATCAATCTTTTTATTTAAATCTTGGCATAAAGTGTACATCCCTTAAAACACAACTATTCCTTTACAGAGCATTGTATTGATTAATCAAAGAACAGCTCTTTTCCCCTATCAATCAATAATTTGCAATATTATTTTGTCAATATTTCATTTTAATATCAAAAATGAGCTGTTGTCAGTTTTTTTGTTTGTGTTGCCATCGAAAATGTCCCCTAAGTCCAGTTGATTTTTCTAAGTTTTTTCAGCTTACTATGACCTGGATGACTGAGAATCTGCGTGGATTTGTGTTGTCGTAGCTTCCTGACTGGCAACAGGAGATGTGCGCTCTCCTTGTGATATCGGGTTTTATCATTCTGAAATAATTATAGGCTATTTGGAGTTAGGATGGGTGCAGAGCTAATCTAGAAGTACCCAAGATTAAAAATTAAATAGCTGCAAACGAGAATGCCACTTTAAAGAATGACTTGCATTCCACTCATCATTTACATGAGTTATTATAAGAACAGTATAAACTACTGGTGAATCAATGTGATTTATCATACAAATTATTCCAAAGTTAAAAAGCTGCCATTATACTGCAGAACCACAAAAAGCATCCAATTTGTTTTTGCTCCCTGCGAGATCTAATTTTCATCGACGCACTCATTGATCGTCTACCTTGAGTGACGTTTCCCCATTCCATTAAAACAAGACCACAGGCAGAATTCTCTCACTGCCTATTAGTAGGATTTCATGTAAAGGTGAAGGTCATATCCTCCTACACTGGGATCAATATGTCAGTGGGTTCAGGGTCTTCCATCTTACATCTGCCTGCATGCAGTTTGGAGGTGGAAGATATCTGAGCGTGTAATGTTAATTTTACCTGTGATCCTTTGAATAAATCAGCACTGTATTGAAGTTACTTGGACTGCCTCGTCTCTCAGGGTTAGCATGGTAACAAGAACTGGACCCTACAAGCCCCATACTGCCCCAAAGCCCATTCTGGCCTTCACTTTTTACCTGGATGTACAGTGGGTACTGTAGGCTTTTCACCAAGTGACAATATACAGCAAGTTGTTTATCCCTTCCCACTGAGAGGACCCATAGGAGCACACCAACAGCAGGTGTATCGGACCTTTGTCGTCATGGTTTCAAAAAAAAAACAAAACATGTGACTTTGGTTAAGGAACAGTCATGGTTTGTTAGGTACAAAAATAACTTGGGTTTAGGAAGAGATAATGGTTTGGATTAAAATCATGATTTCATTAAGGTTAGTGGACCTTCATGTTTACAATAATATAAAAGGTGGTAGAACAATTGGCTGGTGACTCTAACCTGCCTGAAGACATGAATATGATGGTTGTCTGCCTCTGTGTATCAGCCCTGTGATAGGGTGGTGACCTGTCCAGGTGTAGCGTCCCGCCCCCCATATACATACACACACGGCTAATGGATGTCAGTTTGAAACTAACAGTACCCCCTGAGTGAACACCTAAGTGCTGTCGACCCACTCAACCCTGACCTCTTCCCTACTTTGTGTTTCTTTACCCGGGGCGGGCAATTCTGGTCCTTGACTTCACCTGACTTCCTAATTTGCTCCTAATCATAATTACAACAGTTGCTAGATGTGTCTAACAATAAAACATGGGTAATATAAGCTGATAGCACAGATAACCAATGTATTTATTCCTGTGTTTGCTTTTCAAAAGCCTTATGTTTAAGCCCCAAAAGTGAGTTATGCAATGATGCTTGTCAAGATCCTGGGAGCATAAGACAAGCAAATCCTGAAGCATGCTTTTACTGTCACCAGGCAACACAACCAGCTTCTCTCTATTCTTTAGCTAGTAAAGCTAAAACTGTTAAATAAATGCAGAAGGGAGGGAAAAACCCACTTGCAGTACAGTGCCATTCATTTCAGTCGTGATATTCACAGTTTAATGAGAATCTGTGTTGGTGAAAGAGGCTGAGCAGGTGAAAACACTTCCTGCTTTCCCTCCATTTGTCTTGCACACAGCTCTGTTGTGCACTTAGCCATGGTGTTGCCAACCTATCATCCAGCCTTTCCTACTGTTATCTTGAACTTCTCTATAAAACACAAGGTGCACTGCACAAAGCAAATTAAATGTGCGACCACACCTCAATCAGTGACGTCACAGGAGGAGTCTGGCTTTAACATCTAGCATCACTAATTAATACGTGAACATTGTGAAGCCACAGCAGCTATTTTCTGCCGTGTGATTCCGTAGTAACTGTACTTCACCTGCAGGTTTTACTGCAGATTATAAGTGTGCCATGATGTTCTGATGTTGTGGCTAAAATGCTGTCCTAATGAACTGCACTTCCGCGCTTTTGTGCAAATATGTGACTGTCAGGTTTGCTCGGCCGCTCTGGCCTCCCTCACCTTTCCTACTGTCTCTTGCCCATTTACACTAATCACGTTCACCTGTTCCTCACTCCCTTATCACCAGCTGCACTTGATTAGGTCATTCACTATATTACCCGGTTTCACTCCTCAGTCACTTGCCAGTTCATTCTAGTCTCTAGGCCAACTTTACTCCGTGCGTTGTCATTGTTTTTGTATGTATTTATCCCCTAGCCAGCTACTGTTTTGTGTTCCCCCCATGGACTGTTCCTCCGGACCGTGGCTCCACTCTCCCCTCCCAGGCAGGTCAATGCTCAGTCGCCTATCTGTTCTACTATTGCCTTCATCTCTCTGTCTCCACCTTCAGTAGCCACCATCACCACCGACCAGCCCAGGAGTGACCCAGCCTACGCAGCTCGGCCCAGCTCTCCATCTCCTCACCTCCTACTGTTGGTCAAACACCCGGCTACTACTCATCGACAGGACTACGCACTATTTCCCTCTGTGTATTTTGTTATTTCTCCTCATCACTGTACATAATAAATCACTGCTTGCATCGAAGTCGGCTACCTGGGTCCGCCTCTTTCTCGTTCGCTCACTGACAGGTGCGAACGGCACATAACAGTGACCTGTGAAACCAAAACATGCACCATCCTGTTTGGTGATGCCTGTTTATCCAATATTTCCTCACTTAGGAGTGTTTTTTTTTTGGCTCCTCTTAACAGATGTTATCTGCATCTGTTAGCTGAACACATTTGATAATGTCTGGCATTATACTGAAGCCAGCATGAAAATTCTGCACATATGTACCGTAATGCCATCTGTAGACCTGTTAATAAGACACATGAATATTCACGAGACTTCTGCTCCTTCAGTTTTCACAAAGTCCACAGTCATTTACAGAATCTGCACACTGATGTTTTCATACTGTTAATATTATTACACTTGTTTGTGAACACACACTGATTTAGAGATAAGCAACCGGCACTTTCTCCATATTTGTACAAATTAATCATGTTTGGAACTATCAGCAGCCGATATTTGATTGTGTGTCAACATGATTAAGGTACTATATTGTAAGAGATAAGGGGTTATTCACTTGTATATTTACTGTAAAACTATAACATGTCTAGCAGATTTAGTAAATGTTTTGTTATAAAATTAATATTCATATACAATGTCAGAGTTTACACTTAGATAAAGATAAAATTCTTTCAGATAAAAGGTCTTTCAGAACTAGTTAGAAGACTTGGCTACATCCAGAAGTGAAGCTGTGCACCATGAGTCCCTGTGTTGGACGCCACACACACACTTTTTGAGCATTAGAGAAACCACTTGTAAAATCCCAAGTTGCTTCCTTTTACATAAGACCTATTTGTTTCTGCATGACCTCAGTTCATTAGTGGATGTCTTAATGTCTCTCAAATACTGATGTGTGCATTTTGTTGAACACAGGTGATCTTGAAAACAGGATGCTGTTTTAAATGAGACTGACAGGGGATAACAGCACCATCTGCTGTGGGCTGCTTATTGCTCCACACATCTGAAGTTTGTTTCAACAATCTGCTGTTACAAAACCAGATTAACAGGAGGTTTGGCATGTCACCTAGGATCCTTTACAACTTCTACAGCTGCATCGTCGAGAGCATCTTGACCAGCTGCATCACTGTCTGGTATGGCAGCACTACTGCTATGGACTGCAAGCGCCTGCAGAGAGTGTTA